GCGCCCCCCACGGGTGCGCCCGGCCCAGGCTGGGAGCCGCCAGAGCAGGCAGCAGGCAGCAGGCAGGCTCCAGCTGGGGCTCCCCAGGGGCCCTCCCTGGTGTTGGGGTGTCCTGGTACTGCCTAGCCGAGGGACATGATGGCAGCCTTCCCTCCTGGCCCCCACGAAGGGGCCTCCCAGGCAGTGTGCTCCGACTTCTGTCTCCCTGCGAGGCAAAAACAGGCAGTGTGCTCCGCCTTCTGTCTCCCTGCGAGGCAGCGGCAGCCCCGTGTCCAGCTGCCAAGGAGCCTCGTGAAAATGCTTTTGCTGCCCTGGGTCAAGCTGGGGGCCAGGAGCAGCCGCGCGGCTCCCGGGAAGGGGCGGGCTCCTCAGGGTGTGGGGTGCCTGCAGACAGGGCTCTGGGACCGTGGGCTTAGTCTCCCTCCTGAGTCCTACCATCCGGTGTCCTCACGGGCACGCTGCAGACGGCACCTCTGTAAGGGGCCGGGCGGCTCCCACAGGAGGTATGTGCCCACTCAGCACCCGTGTGCAGCCGGCAGTTCATAAACGCCTCGTTAAACAGCTTTACGTAAGCTCCTGGAGCCCAGCCGTGGGCCAGGGCCAGGGCCTCGGAGTGAGAAGGTGGGGGCCGGCAGAAAACCGGTGGGGTTGCTGGGCCTCACAGACTCCTTTCTGCTGTGGCCTTGGGCAAGGGACTTCCCTGCTCCGGGTCCTCGTTCCTGAGCCCCCGCCTGGACTGTGGCTCTCACCTGACCTTCCCACCAGTGCCCCATCCTCCAATTCCCTCCATTGTGAAATGGGGAAGGAGTGACTGTCCCGCCCCAGGGCCTGCTCCTCCTGCCCCTGGGCTGTGGGGGGTCTGCCCCCTGTCCTCTGCAGGCAGGGGGAGCACTCAGCAGGGATGGAAGGGCGGCTGTCCAGACGGCTATACCTGCTTGGGGCTGGGCCGCCCCTCCCCGCCTGGCCTATCCCTCTCTGGAAGCTGAAGCTGCAGCTGAATGAGGCCCGGCCCGGCCCTCCCAGGCATGATCCTACAGGCCTGGTCTTTGGTATGCGGCTGGAACCCCGCAGCAGGTTTCCCCCTCCACCCCCCGCAGGATACTCACTAGCTGGGGGACTAGGGGTGGGCTGGGCAGGCCACCTTCCACCTGGAAGTGGGAGCCCACGGAGGTCAGAGGACAGCTCAGAGCACAAGCCACCTGCTCAGGACCACAGCCAGGGAGCGAGGCCCCTCTTTTGCCCTGGAGGCGTCTAGACTCGCAGGCAGCCACGTGTGAGAGCTGGAGGGCCCAACGGGCTTCAGTGCCCATTGGGCTTTTCGGGGGATGGCCGCAGAGGCCTGGGGCTTGTCAGGGTCGCACAGCCAGGCAAGGGCAGAGCAGGGACCCCATCCCTCACTCCAGGCTCCAGGCCCAGTCGCTGCTTATTGGATTCTAGTCTACGGAGGGCGGCCCCCAGCAGCAGCCTGCCAGGAACCAGCCGCTCCCAGGAGAGCACAGAGCGTGTGTCACTTCCCTGCCCAGGGTCTGCCCTGTGCTGACGGGGCAGCTGAGTGAGGAGGCGGCAGGCTGGGCCTCCTGACTCAGCACAGGAGCTCCAGTCCAGAAGCCCCAGGAGCCCAGGAGGACTGGCCTGGAGTTAGGGGGCAGACAGCGGAATCCCTGCCTAGGGCTGGGGGAGGGGGCTCTCCCTGCACTGATAGTGGGGAAGGGGTGAGGAGTGGATTTATGGGGAGAGGTAAGGCAGGGAGAGCTGCTGGAGGTGGGGGGCAAAGTGCACTGTCAGCACTCACATCAGTCCTTGCGGCCACCCTCCCGCCCTGCCCCTAGGAGTCTGGGGACAGCCAGCCGAGACTGCAGGGGGCTGGGACTGTAGGGAGATGGAACTGCAGGGGCCAGCACCAGCGTCCCTCCCAGACCCTGCCAGGTTCCAGGCACCACGGCAGGGGGACCAGTCCTAGAGCTTGCAGGCGACACAGGCCTGGTCCCCACCCCCACCCAAGAACTAGCCAGGTGACCTTGGGCCGAGACTAACCAGTCTGGTCTCAGTGCCTACATCTGAAAAATGGAGCAGATAACACGGCCCAAGATGACAAAGTGGCCGTGCTCAGTCAACAGTGGCTGTCATTACAGACCGCCCATGCCCACGCTATGCCACACAGGCCATGGGCCTGGGGGGATGTGGCAGGGAAGCACCAAGGGCTGGAAAGCAGGGGCCGGGCTGGGCGCCGGGAGTGGTGAACAGGCCCGTCCAGCCCTGTCTGTAAGATGAGGCCCCTCCCCTGGGACCCGGAGGCCTCCCCGCTGTCTGAGACGGTGCAGGGGAGATGAAACTGCAGGGGCCAGCCCCAGCGTCCCTCCCAGACCCTGCCAGGTTCCAGGCACCACGGCAGGGGGACCAGTCCTAGAGCTTGCAGGCGACACAGGCCTGGTCCCCACCCCCACCCAAGAACTAGCCAGGTGACCTTGGGCCGAGACTAACCAGTCTGGTCTCAGTGCCTACATCTGAAAAATGGAGCAGATAACACGGCCCAAGATGACAAAGTGGCCGTGCTCAGTCAACAGTGGCTGTCATTACAGACCGCCCATGCCCACGCTATGCCACACAGGCCATGGGCCTGGGGGGATGTGGCAGGGAAGCACCAAGGGCTGGAAAGCAGGGGCCGGGCTGGGCGCCGGGAGTGGTGAACAGGCCCGTCCAGCCCTGTCTGTAAGATGAGGCCCCTCCCCTGGGACCCGGAGGCCTCCCCGCTGTCTGAGACGGTGCAGGCAGTCTCCACAGCGAGCTCCCCTCTTGCAGAGTATGAAGGGAGAGGGCAAGCCCACCTGCCAAAGCTGCAGGAAATCACCAGGTGGTCTTGCATGAGAGACTGGGGCTCAAACCCGAGACTCAATTCTTCCAGGTTCCTGGCTAGCTCACCTTAGCCAGGTGGCACCAATACCCTTGTGTAGCTTTTGTGGAAAACAGGACGCCAGGAGGCCATGGGACTGCGGGAGTGCTGGGTCTCAGCTGTGGCCACAGAGACAACCGGGAAGACGGGCAGCCGGGGGAGCCCCAAGGGCCGGCCTGGTCCCCTCTGAGGACATGCTGTCTCTGTCCTATGGGAGATCAGCCCCTCTGGCAGTTCCCATGCCAGGCCGGGAGGTGAAGTCTGCCTTCTTCCTAGGACAGGAGGGGGACCCCCAGCACAGTATCCAAGCCTGTTTCCCCATATAAAAAAGGGGAGTGGAAGGCTAGCAGGTGGCATAGTGGTTAAGGTGCTGGACTCCCGCATGGCCAACAGCGGTTTGAGTCCCAGACCAAGTGGCTTGAAACTCATGCCGGGCACATGTGCGTGCATGCCCCAAATCCCAAGAGGAGAATGGAGGAGAAGGGACTGCGGTGTGGTCTACCCTCCGGGGGGTGATTTCTCACTTTCTGTCTCTCTAGTGAGTGCACACTCCCTGTAGGAAGACTCTCAAAAGAGAAGGGGGAGTTGAGACTAGGTAATGGGACCCCAGCAGGCCCTACAGGGGTGGCCACCCCCTCACACACTGGCGTCAGTGGCTCCCATACCCGCTGTGGCAGGTAGCTGGGCCTGAACGTGGGCTGGTCTCTCCCTCCTCCCCCTCTTCCTCCAACCCCTTCCACTCTCCTGTCACCAGATAGTCTGTCCGTCCCCCCATGACAGCCAAGCAGACAGCCCAGCACGGCTCTTATCCTCGCCGCCCGTTTACAGCCCAGAAACCTGAAGCCCCCAAGCTGCCCTGGGCTGCTCGCCAGGGACAGTGGCTGAGTCCCTGCACCGCACTCTGACCCGGCCGGCTTCTCCAGGGCAGAGACTCCTTTCTGAAAGCTCCAGCTCAACCGCCTCCTCAGCTCCTGAGCCATGCGTGCTGGCTCTGCCCAGGGCTGCCCACCCAGCCCCGCCTGCCAGCCAGGGTGGGCCTCTAAGCCAGCGTGCAGGCCCTGTATCCTGCTCCGGGGCTGGACCGTTGAGGAGGCCGATTCAGCTAGGGATACCTCGTGCACAAGCCGAGGTCAGGCATGGCTTCAGAACCCGGAACGCAGCTCCAGACGGGCTCTAGCGCTCCCGGCAGCGCTGCGCTCAGATACCAGCCGGGCACTACTGCTCGGCTCCTGGCCGTGGCCGCCACAGTGGCAAACGCCGTTTCCCAAATGTGGTCACTGAGAACAGCCGCCCACAGCTGGGGCTGTCCCTGCACAGCTCGCAGGGGGTGGGAAAGGGAGATCCTGAGTCAACCCAGGTGGACAGCCCTGAGCACAACTCACTCCACGTCCACCGCAGAGGCCACAGGACCCTGACCGTGCACCCTGGCCACTGCAAGGCTCACAGAGGCTCCGAGAGCACGGCCACAAGGAGGCAGATTTGACAGTGGGCTTCGAGACAGACCAGCCCCAGGTAGCCTCAGGCTTCTTCTCAATCACATGCCTTCCCTCCCACCCCAACTCGGTGCTCCCCACCAGATGGCCGGTGTGTGTGTGAGCCTCCTGCCTCCTGGTGGAGCTGAGCCACCCTGAGAGTGAGAGAACCCGGATTCTTCCCTGCCCCGCCTGCCGCAGCTTCAGGGGAACCTGCTCACCAGGTCTGGGCACCAGAAACAGCCCCCAGCGATGCATAAGAGCCCTTTGGGGTGGGGCGCCCACTGTCACTCAGACAGAGAAACTGAGGAACCACCATCAGAGTCGGGAGGAGACCTCTTCCCAGGGGGCGGGACGGTTGGGGTCCTGGGCCCCCTCTCACCTTCTGGGCCTGGCTGATCATCTTGCGAACCACCTCTTTGATGTGGGCCTGCCCATCGATGGGCGGCTGCATGTAGACACTGGCCCGGGTCACCCCGCGGTAGGCGATGGTGTCGGGCCAGCCCAGGTCCAGTTGCGGGATGGAGCGGTCCGACTTCTGGGGCCAGTACTCCAAGGAGGGCAGCTCGGCCTCGGTGGCGGTCCCGCCTGCCCCGCTGGCTTCCTCCCCGTCCCCATTCCCAGTCCCGTCGTCCTCGGGGCCCCGGCCGCGGCCCGTGCCTAGGGGGTCCTCAGAGCCGGGGTCGTACACCTCGATGGTCTCCAGGATGCGCTGGAGCTCCAGCTCCGAGAGGAAGTCTCGGATGTTCTCGCGCTTGAGCACCTCGTAGAAGGCCTCGGGGCCCCGGGCCACCAGGGCCTCCAGCGCCAGCCGCTGCTCCTCGCTGTAGAAGAACTCGGGCTTGGACTCGCTGGAGCGCCAGTTCACGTGGCTGTCGTCCAGACACTGCACCTGCGAGAAGGCCATGGTGCCACCTGCGCGGCGCGCTCGGCGAGGTCGGGGTCCCAACGCCCGCCCGGCTGGGGCACAGCGCGCTCTGGGGCGTCCGGGCTGCCTGTGTTCCTCTGCCCATACGGAACCTGCGAGACGGGGCAGATGAGCTCAGAGCTCAGGGCTCGGGTCAGAGGGCGGGGGGGCGGGGCTGGGGGCGGGGCCGTAAGGAGCGGGCGCGAGCGAGCCCGCCCGGGGAGGGGGGGGGG